ACCCAGCTATTATTTTAGAAACATTAATGATGGTTACCAGTGATGGTGGTCATTTTACATAATGGCTGAGACAAAATTGATTTGCCATCATTTAAGGTAGTCCTCTCATCTAACCTCATGCAGGTGCCATGATGCATTTCTCACCTTGACCAGAGGACAATCTGTACTGCAAATCATCAAAGGCAATGTAACCCAGTAAAAGATTACTCAGCCTGGGGATGAAAATAGGGGCCAAGCCACCACTCCTTTATGGCAAGATGGCAACATTCAATGCCACTGCTTAATGTTAAAGTATTCCTAGTCAATTCAAAAAACCAAAACACTCGACCTCTTTAGGACTGAGCCAACCTGAAGCAAATTTTAGTTGTTGTTGAAGTTTCCCCTACATTGGAAAAACCTGAATCATTCAGCTATTTTGATGTTCTCTCAAAGAAAAAAAAAGATGTTGAGCCCCACCTAAAAAGTCTGAGGCTTTCTGCTTTCTTTCAAGCAAATAAAAGGGCCAAATTGAGATTGCACCAGCAGCATTCATTCTGGCATTTCATAACTTTTAAGAATTAGACTTCATAACTCGAGAAGCCTTTCAGCATACATTCTGGATATAATGTTACATGCTATGTATAATATAGCCATAGGAGTGTACAGATGCCAAGCTATAAAAATGATTTCCCTGCTCTTTGGCAGACTCCACAGGCAGAGGGATTAGATTATGTTCTATTTCTTTCTGGTTTGTAATATATTTAGACAACTGAATGGTTTTTCATTTGGTGCTTGTCCTGCAATTCATTTCTCATATCCTTTCTTTCAATCTTGTGAGGCTTTTTTCAAAATCTAGTGCATTGTGCTTTGTCCTCCCTTGTCCTTCCATTTATGGGGAAGGAGGACATTCCTATTGCTTACAATAATCAGTGTATCTGCTGAGGGCTTCTTATTGCAGAAAGCTGTTTGTTAGCCTGGTATCCAAGCTCTTCCTATGAAGAGAGTGTGAAAGCTTTTCATCCACTCCCATCATGACCAGATCTGAAGTCATTGCAGCAGAACCTCAACGGGCGCAGATCAGTGCAAGTCTGCTTAGATCAGTGTAATACAATTTTATGACAGAGTGAGATCTGGACATTTGCAGAGACCATTTTCTTTGTTATCTCAGGTCTGACGGGGCTGTGGTGATCGATGGCGCTTTTACGTGAACACTAACTTAGCAAGAGGCCCTGGAACGGCGAATGCGGCAACTGTTGGCTTCATTTGTCAGAAAATGACAAAAGTCCCTGAAAAAAAACTTGTCTCCAGAGGCTCTGAACCATTCCTTCATTATTAATGGATGTCATTTTTTCCAGCGGAACTAAGCCGCCGTGCAAAGTCATTGCTGAGGAAGAGGAGGAAATCTTTTAGTTAGCTACTTCCTCACCAGGCAATGAAAATCGATACGGCTTGACTGGTTGCTGTTTGCTGAGCGGTCAGGTGGAGCAGCCATGGCCACCTGGGGTGCCACACAATGGCAGTAACCTTTGCTAGAGAGTAGAAGCAGTCTGAGCCAGCTCCAGAGCACACCCTTCAGCTATAAATACATTAAAGTCCTGTAGAAGTGACCAGAAATGACGAATATGGGGTTTCTGTTGCCAAGCACGCTGTGTTGGGAGGCTGGGATACAATACTGTGGTTAACTGCACATGAAAATTAGAATCATAGAATCCTCTAGGTTGGAAGGGACCTTAAAGATCATCTAGTGCAACCATCAACCTAACTCTGACAAAAAAATAAATAAGAAATAAGCAATAAAAGAAAAAAAAACACTAAACCATATTCTTGAGGACCATGTCAACCCGTCTTTTGAACACCTCCAGGGATGGTGCCTCAACCACTTCCCTGAGCAGCCTATTCCAATGCTGGATGACCCTTTCCATGAAGAAACGTTTCCCAATATCCAATCTAAACCTCCCCCGGCGCAACTTGAGGCCATTTCCCCTTGTCCTGTCTCCTGTGACTTGGGAGAAGAGACCGACCCCCACTTCTCTACACCCCCCCTTCAGGTAGTTATAGAGCAGGATAAGGTCTCCCCTCAGCCTCCTCTTCTTCAGACTAAACAACCCCAGCTCCCTCAGCAGCTCCTCATAAGACTTACTTGGTTAGCATCGGTCTTCCTTCGGAAAAGGCAAGTATTTTCAGTGATCCCACTATTGCAAAATGATCGCAAGTAGTACCTCTCAACTCTACTGGTCCAGCCATCAGTCAGTCAATCACACACCCCACTTCACCTCTCACTAGAGGAAGAGGACCTCTTAGCCTGACATCTGTCCTGTCACGATTTGGTTTCAGGCAGAAGATGTTGATTCGGCACTACCCTCAGTCAAGAGCTCGGAAAACGCAGGGTGAATACTTCATACTTGATGCAAGAGGCTTTCAGAGCTGAGTGTGGTCCATGTGTTGCTGGCTCTGCTGGCCACATCCTCCCACTCGTTCTCCCATAGCTTTATACACACTTTAGGGGAACTGGCAGAGAATTGAAGCTACTGGCATGAGTGACATTTTATCTTCTGTGCTGCATACAAATATTCATAAACTTTCCAATGGTCTTTGAATCCAAGAACTCTCATTTTACACCACCTTGGTGACACTCTTGCTTTTACATTAACCTTGGAAGGATCTGGCTAGGAGCATCATTGGGGTTCTCAGGTACAGGAAAAGAGTAACAGGTTGATGGGTCTGACACATTTAAAACTGCATTCTGTCCAGGAGCACATAAATGCCTCTCTACCTGCTCCATCTCCAAACATTTCTTTAAAAATAAGTAAAGAACTAAAAGAAGCCACATCCTGGCAAAGAATCTAGTGATTTCAATTATGCATTGTAGATTAGTAAAGCATTTCATCTGTGCTAAAGCACACATAGCACTCTACAGAAGAGTGAAAAGAAACAACTGAAGGTGCTGTGAAGGACGTAGGTGGCTCTAAGCCGTGATATGTGCTCATAGTCTTCGGTTTCTTTCTCCCAAAGTATTTTTTAAATTAGTTATAACTAAGTCTCAGGAGACTCTCTTCTAGATACAAACAGCTTGTTTTAAACTTTGTCTGCCTGCAGACCTCACAAGAGGCAGGCGTACATGTTTTGTTAGTATCCATTGCTACCAACATTAAAAAAGGACAGTGACAGAATATAACAACACAAAGTAATTTTTTTTTGTATTTCTGAAATGACTAAGGCTGTCTAGGCTATGTGATTGTTAGAAAGCAATTAACTGTCAAACCTTGACGTAGGTTTCATTTGATTGAGTTTTGGGTGAAGGCTTAAATCCTCAGAGTTAATTACGAGAGAATTGCATAGTTCTGCTCAGAGGTCCTCCCTGGCTAACAGTACTGTGAGAAATGCCTAAATCTGAATTAAGGCAATACTGTTGAGCTATGGCTCAGGTGGCTGCTTACCTGACCTTGCACTTCCGAGCAGGTGCACGGCTGCAATTTCAATGAAGTTACGCTGACATGAAAGTTGAGACTCAAGCCTGAATAGATTTGATGGGTAAACACTAGATAACCTCAAACATGCTGATTCCCACAGATATTCTGCTGTCTGAACCAGATGTTTCTTTATATTTTATACATTAATGGAATGCAATATGTATAATGTAGCACATAGACTTGGGAATACCCAATATGCAAAGAATCCTGTCTGGTGGGAGAAGTTAATTAAGTATTGTTGCTACTAAGATACCAAATTGTGCCTCCAACAGCTTGTATTCATACCATTATGCTTTCCTGCTTGAGCAAACAGATGCATTGCTTTAATTTATTATTATGATTAGTAATCTTGGTCTACCTCAAAACTTTCCCTAATTATGCTTTCAGCCAATTTACCTACATGCTGCCATAGCTGATATATGGATGGATGGATCACATAGCCAGTTACACACACACACTCTCTGTACAAGGTGAAGATGGGCAGATTTAAAGCATTCATTATGTCCAGAAGGCACTGCAAGAAAAAAAATGGTGAATACTCACAACAATTCTGTGAATATAATACTTACCCATCTACATATGTGGAAATAGAAGTGCATTTTCTCACCCTATGAAAGGAACAGGGGTTACACAGCCTATGCTTGGTCTGATGCATGCCACAGGAAGGTGCCATGCCATTTGATAAAGGCATTTACTGTATGGTCACAGGAACAGTTTACTCACGTAAACAGCTCCAGTGAGATTGTCCACAGAAATAAGATTTACTTCAAAGTAAATTTATGGTTGCAGAAGGAAGCCCCCTGCACTTTGTACTTCCAGAGTAGACTGCAAGCAGAAGAAATTAAGAGTTTAGCAGTTCTTTGCATTTCCTCTTTCACATTTTCAGGTGAATATTTGATCTTTTCATCTCACAGATAGTAAACAACACAACACTGTGGAATGGGTACACTGACATACATAGAGAAAGAGGAACTTGGGGTGAAATCTGATTTTTATCACGCAGCATACTGCCCTGCTGTCTCCAGCAGCCAAGGCTCCATGACCTGCAGGAAAGCATCCCATCTCCCTCCCTGCTAAGTTCCCGAGGTTCCCCCTTGATGATACTCACCTAGGGGTTGGCCTGGCACTTCATCAGCACCTCAGGTATGCACCCAGACCCAAGAACTAGGCTGCACTCCATGTTCCCCCAGGTTACAGGTAAGAATAAGCAACTTGCACACCTACTGTGTGATTAATATTTTGCGAGACCAGGACAAATTTAATAGAGCAGGGAGAGAAACAAGGTTACTCCCACCCTGGTTATATAGAAAAAAAGAAGGAGAACGCAACCATCCTTATCACACAAGTTCATATTGGCCAAATAGAGGTAATGAGGGAAGATAGAGGCCTCCTAACAACTCTTCTTTCTTTCTCACACTTTTCCTTCCTCTTTCCTGCCTCCCCAGATTAAATCCATAACTGAGAAAACTACGAGTTTTTCTTTACAGGAAATACTTTGATGTTGTGTGCTTATGAAACATTATGAGAACATTTGTGGTTTATGTCTTCCAGAAAATTATATTGATGTGCCTCAAGATGGGAGAGGTAAGATCAGACTTCAACGAGCAGCTTTCAAGAAAGTCAACTAAATGACAACAGCTGAAAAAATCATGGTTAATCAGGAGAGAGAAAGACTACAAGAGGGAAATTGAGCAAGTCACCTGGAGAGAAACACCATTCAGACAACTTGTATAGGGAAACAATATAGAAAGAGTCTCCAGAAGAAAGCAGCCTGTAAGCAATATTTTAATTCTAGATGGACAATATTATCTCTGAAAGGAAGCATCATATTTGAGGAAATGCTCAATAATGCTCAATAGGAAGAAAATTAAGTTGCTCTGGCAAATCCACACAAAGGTGGAAAAAGATCACGAGACAAACCTTTGGTAGATAACTTTTCTTTGCCTCCCCATCCATCTATTGCCATTTGAGCCTAATCTAAGTGTCAGAATACTGAATGTGAGTTTTTCCAAAGTTCTCTGGTGAATATTTTGTCACAATAGGGTAGATGCTGGCAATCCCCATCACTGTTACACATATTGTCATATGCATTACAAGTAAGTGCGGCCCTTTCATTGAGTCAAACTGCAGGGTAGCAGTTGATTCAGTAATACACATTTAATACACATTAATACACACTTAATACACATTTTAAGATCATCGGCCATGATTCTGCTAAGACATCAAACATCTAAGCACATCTTGGCTCCAGCTTTGCACATCCTTCTGAAGAGGGGAGCTTTATTAAGAAACAACACAGACACCCTATCCCACCCCCATAGTCCTTGAAGCTGAAAGAGAAACAGAAGAAAATCAACAAACTATATATTTCGAAAGCAATAATACCATTGTCCCTCTGCTTTACAAAGCAATAATCCAATTCCCTCAGCCACCAACTGGCTTCAGAATTTACCCCTCACAAATTTAAGAATTCATTTGTATGCCAGAAGGGCAATGATGCTACTGCAAAAGTATGTGGAGTACTTGGTCACTAGGTTACAGTAGCTTGACTTAACTTTCCACAGGACAGGTTTATTTTAAAATCACACAGTATCAATTACGTGAGCAAATCCTGTGAAATTCAATCATTTAAGATATGTATGTGGAGAACCTGGCAATGACAACTGGAGGAGTTCATCTAGGAATCATAACACAAAGCCACACTAATGCCAAATTAATCCTTCATGCCTAGTATTCTGTCCTGCAGATTTGAAGAACTTTAAAAAAAAAACACATATATATTACTGTATGATCAACATGAGGAACACCTTGTCAATGAATAATCAAGTTTTCTTTTGTACCTCTTTGAATTGAGTGCATTTTAGTCTTCCTTTGAACTCAAAAGGGATAGACTACTGAGTCATTTGAGTTAATTCACAGCTACCAGAGTGCGTGATGATACATGACTAAAGCCACGCAGAAATAAATAAGTGCTGGGAGAGCCAACAAGGCTGGAGACCACAGGAGTGCTCAGTCTTCAAAGCGTGCCCAATCTGAGTAGGGTACAATGTGCTCCTGGTGGTGGGAGAGCTAACCACCCTATGAGATGTCAGGGGCTGCTATTAGTGCCAGCTTGCAAGAAAAGCAAAGAAAAGCAAATAGCTGGAAGCAATGCCATCCATACTTCTGCCAGCATCACGTCTTCTCCACACTCCCACATTGGCTCCAAGGTCCATAACCCCTGCAGACACCCAACAAAGTACTTATCTACAGTGATCAGTTTTACCTTGACGCTTTGCAGTAACTGTTTGCTCCTTTTACCTTCTACCAGCACCTACTTTCATTGTGAGGTGATGGCCACCACAGAGAGCTTTGTAAAAAGCTTATGTTCATGAAGGAATTTGTATTAGATACTGGTTTGTGTGACTTACTGTATTTTGTAAGGGTTTTTTTCCCTTTGGGAATTGTGCGTTATAAATGAGCAGTTTTATGCTTTACTTCTAGTACATGTATACCTTGTAATTGATGTGCTTTTTGTTCGTTCGTTTGTTTCCTTTTATTCTCTATACAGAGCCAGTTATTATAAGGTAGATACTCTCTGGCTGAAATTCTGATTTTGCCTACTGATTAATTTATGGATAAATCCATGTCTTAGCTGATGAACAATTGTTCATCAATTGTGTTGTTATAATCATGTGAGAGCCTCTCTAGTTAAGCAGAATATACGATCCTGAATAAGACTAATGCTCATTGGGCCTTAAAAAAAAAATTGGTTTCCCTACCACCATCGCTATCAGCCCTTCTCCCTTAGCATTTGGGACATTGTAGAAGGGAACTGGCTAGACAAACAGTCACCTGAGCATCTCAACCATCTAGGTAGCTGTGCTCTGATATTCCTCTGCATTTACCTGATCAAAATTATGGTGAACCAGATAAACTGCAATGAATTCTTCAATTGTTTCTGCAGAAAGAGACTGGTTCAAACACAGTATCTCTAAGGAAAAAGACCTGGACTAAAAGAAATATATTTTCCTCTATGTCCATACTGATACAGTTGGAAAAATAAAGGATATAAAATTAACATACTGCGAAGTGTATCAGTCCCTTGTACACCCTGTCTAACAATGGCAGCTGTCTGTCTCAGTGGCTATTAATGACCTTCATGCTCCAAAAGCCTCCTGCCTTGTCCAACTCATTTTCGCTCTTCAGTTTTACAGAGAACTGAGTGTCCAATTCTCAATAATTGCTGTGTATAACGTAGGACAAAAAGATAAGTTATAAAGCTTGTGCAGGACTTAGTGTTGTAATTAACCATCGCTCGTGCCTGGTTATTGATCTTACAAAAACACAGAGTGAAAACAATCTGGCCTCTTAATGTATACTTCAGCATATTGTAGCAGCTATTTTAGATAACTGGTTTTAATAGTTTCATTATGGGCTGTAATTTGTATATGAGGAAGCGATGAAGTAATAAGTCAAAGGGATTTTTAAAGTCAGTTCTATTTAGCCACCAGTGATGGTTTATGAAAAATAAAGCAACAAAAACAAAACCTCATTCAACTCACCAGGAAGAAACGTCTTTTCTCAGCCTTGAAAATTCTCTTGTATAAGACAGGCATTTCTTCTAGTCCTCCTTTTACATAAATAGAAAATCACTAAGAAGATAATATATACACTATATGTACAATAGTCTATTTGAATAGTCTGCAGTCAAATTTTAGGCTAATTAAGCTAACTAGAAATTCTAGGGTTACAGTGATTTCTCACTCTTTATTAATACATTGACAATAATACTGTTTACATAACACTCGATGTTTGAAATCAATACGTGCCCGTGTCCAGTGATTTGCTAATCTAGTTTTTGATCTAATTCTGTCCTATTTTTTGCTGCATTCTCTAACTTCATATTATGAACCATGTTGTCTTTCTAAAGTGATTGCCAAGTAAACCAAAAATGTGTTTTACACTGCTATTGCACTGCTCTTGTCTTTATATACAGTAGTTTTTATAAAGATGTCCTTAGGTTTTAATAAATGAGTGTAACGTAAACTAATCCCTGTAATAAAACTTGCATTAATGTTTCAAAGTCTGTCTGGAATAGCTGTAGAGACTTGAGTTTCTACTTTTTCCAGTAGCTTCAAACTTCATGTCTTTCTTTCCATCTGCAGAGAAATCCCCAGATAGCAATACTCCATAGTTTATACAAGTGGTTTATATAAGAGGAAAGCAAGAGAGTGTATTTAGTGCAAGGAATGATGCTTGGATTTGTAGAAAGGAAAAACATCTCCCAAAAAACAAACCGCACCACAAAAAAAAAAAAAAAAGGTTAAAGCCACTGCATAAATAAATATATGGTCCATTTAGTCTGCATCACGTTTCCTAATACCAGGTTGCTAATACCTGGTTGCTAATGCCAGATACTTAAGAGGGAAGTGTGGGACACTGAACAGAGACTGCTAAGAAATAAACATAATCTTTCCACTACTCAAGACTAGCTGAGAAGGCCAAATGTGCAACTGAACAGAAAGCAAGCAGCACTTTGATTTCCACACACAAAGTGCTCTGTCTCACACCTACCCAGATAAGGTAGGGGTGAATAAAGTTTAACTTGCTCTGTACTAAAAGGCAGGATCAACAATTCCCAAAAGTAAGAGATGATTGTTTGGGTTTTCTTTTTCCTGAAAGGCTGAAGGATTTATTTTTCCAGAAAGGTTTAGACTAAATGTACTGTTCTCTCTCAGGTCCCTTTGCCACCCTTTGTTTAGGAGGCATCTTTGCCACTGTTGTAAAAATATTAAGCACGCTGAGCTGAAATTTCAGCTTTTTGACTAATAAAAGGGAACATTTTTGACAACTGGGTTAAACACACACGAAACAACTCAACCCAAAACGCGATTGCTGATTTCTGTTGGTAGCTTTGCTTATACTTAAAGCTTCTCCGCCATCCACCCACTCCTCAAGAAAAATTCAGGAATAAATATGGGGAGTCTAGGTCCCAACCCAGCACATGGGCAGGAGGGAGAGTCCCAGGGGGCTTCTTGCCTCTCAGTACAAGCTGGTTCACTGGACAGAAGCTGTTCTTGGTCTCCTCTGCCCCACGGCTCCCAAGCACAAGGTTTCCTGAGCTGCTGTCACGACCAGCACTTGTCCTCTGTGGCTCATCCCAAATCTTTGATGTCTTGGGTGAGTGAAATGCTGGCGTTTACAAGCACAGAATGTACTTTTCAAATTAGAAATTATGCTTACAGTATCAGATTGCTAATCCCAGACTAGAAAGCGTGCTGCAGGAATACACCTGAACAGTCCAAAAAGCACAGACATTTTAAAGCCAAATTTTTTTAAAAAAGATGAGATATCCCTTGTAATGTCAGTTACTTCACATAACTTAGTTCATTCCTGCAGCTTCCATAACACACATCAGCTCAATCACATGAGCTATCACATCAGCTCAAAAATGGAAAAGGATTATTTTCATTAAAGCAACAGTTCAATAATTCTTACGTGTTTTTTTGCAACTGTAGGAGACTACAATTACATCCCACTGTGCTAAGACTTGTGGAGACATATTGTAAAAAGAAAACGAGGACAAAAGACAGTTCTAAAAACACATAAATAATCACAACACACTCCCCTTATCAAACTGCACTTTCAACTCCAAAAACAGCTAAATTTACAAGACACATGAGAAGATAAATAGTAAATTGACGTATTGGCTGTGTTACAGTTCCCTTACCAAGTTTCAACAATTTTTACAATGCGCTTCTAGTAATTGAGTAAGAATTATATTCAACACATTATGCTCAGCAGGAACAACTTTTATATACCAAGTGAGCAAATTAAATGTCTCTGGAATTTCCATAGAAGATGTTAAAATGCTGATAGTGACTTACAGACAGCCATTACCAAGCCATTATTATCGAATCATAAACAAACAGGAGCACCACAGCTAGTTGCTTTAAACGAACTGCTTGTTCTTACTGGAAAGCAGAGATCGTGCTGATCTGCTTGTCTTTCACATATACAGAAGGCCAAGGAGACAAAAGGTACCTTGATTTTGATATTTACTTCCAAGAGAACAAAGTCCTGTCCCTCTCACCCAGGTTATTCTCAACAGTTAATCTGATTTGTGCAGAAAATGGAGGTTGTGGAAGGAAAACAACACAAATACATGAGGTGTGTGGGGGCATTCATGTGTAAGTGTATAATGGCTTGACTTTCCTATTCAGAATTTAAACTCTTCTTCAAACAGCTGAACTCTACAGAGGCTCAAGGTCTCCTCAAATTCGAATTACACCCCCACTGTACAAGACAGAATCAAGGATAAATCCTACCTGAAGCACCTCCTCTTTCCAGTGGGAGCGCAGTGCACACTTCCCCAGTGGTTTGTGCTCCTCAATAAAACTAAAACAACACAATCTCTTTAATATGAGTTGTGTGCCTGCATGCTTACCTCTCCTATTGGGCAAGCCTGCTTTGTTTTTCTTTTTCTTTCTTTTTTCTTTTTTTTTTTTTTTGAAGGTAGGGAATATTAACGCAGCTTTTCTCAACCATCTCTCTGCTTCCTTACCATTTGCAATGCTGTCCCACTGCACAGCTCTTTGTCTCACTGGTGAGTCTTTCACAAACCAAAAAACCCAGCACATAAGGCAGGGCAGACTTAACATGAAGAGGCTGCGTGCATCAGGAAAGTTTTTGATGATTGCTGCTGGGAGTCTCAGGCCATGTTCTGGGCCCCAAGGAGTGACAGCACTTGAACACGAATAGTTGCTTTGTCGCTGTGAGATCTACCAGTGACAATTGGTTTTAAATCCTTAGTTTTGATAACAAACAAACAAACAAAATCTTGATCTGGGAATATTTGAGAATATTCTCCTACTGGCCAGATAAGGTCCAGATTTAATTTAAGGCATTCTCCCAAATTACTTTTTTTAATTAATTTTGGTTTTAGCTACCTTATGGTTTCTGCTAAAAATGCCAATTCAAGTCTTTGAAGCATTTATAAAGCTGCATTTCATTTGACCTCCCCAGCATAGGATCTACCATCTTCTTTCTCCGGTATCTACTGGCCTGGGAATCAAGTATATTGTATCATTGATAACTAGTATTACCCAATATTAAACTGTTCACTGCAAAGCCACTGCAAAACATTCCTCTAGAAAACTCAGATTTTGTTAGATGATTTTATGTTGGAAAATGCTATTAGAGCAAGTAGTAGTGAGTAGAAAGTACCACCCCTGGCGAGTAAGTGATAGCTGGGATTTGTTGTATAAATTCCACTGTCATTTTAACCACACCTTCTCTTTCCTAGATGAACACTCTCTAAGCAGCCACCAGAAGAAGTCAGCTGGGAATTTAGCTAGCAAAGAGACAGAGTATCCCTGTGGTATTTCTGCTATTATTATCCAGGTATAGAAACTCAAAGACATTTCACAACTTTTTCTTTTCTTCTTGCTAACAACATGGATGTTTGTTAAAGCAACTTCTTTCTAGGTAACAAAAAAAAAAAAACAACAACAAACAAGCCCCAAATCCAAGGAAAAGAAGCCATGCAACGCTATCAGTCTTACAGACTTTGCATTTTGTTGTACTACCCATAGAAATGCCACATGAATAAAAAGCACCACTTAAGCCCACAGTCAAATTTTTATTGAGCTCCTGGGCTGCAGCCGAGCTACACAGGAGGCGACGTCTGTTGTTTGTGCTGTATAGTCATCATTCCTCCATTTCAGATCTTTTTTCCAGCACTGTCTGTATGCGACGAGCTACAGCTCTAACCGTAGCAGGCCATGCTTTTCCACACACCCCAAGCCCCAGCCATGCCTCCTGGGACTGAGCAGGCAAACCCTTCTTCTTTCAACTCCTCCTCCCATTTCCCAGTGCTCAGAGAGCAGGAAATCAGGACATAATATTACAGGGGAGAATCACCAAAAGCTCCTTTTCTTACCACCTCTGTTTCTCCTTGCCCACAGCATGGGTGTGGACAAGTATGCAGTATGCACTAAAGCTTCCAGCGTCCTTTTGCAGAGAGACACATTCCTTGTTGGCAGGAATGGACAAATTGGGCAAATCCAGTTTTCCATTTCATTTCTCCTCCCCAACAGTTAAATGAAAGATATTTTGGCTGGACCACGGTCTTTACTCACCATCTCCCTCCAGATGATGCAAAACGCCTGCTGTTCTCCCCTGCAGTCCTTGCAGCTCCACATTTGTAGTCACTTGCGGACAAATTGGGCAAATCCAGTTTTGCATTTCACTTCTCCTCCCCAACAGTTAAATGAAAGGTATTTTGGCTGGACCACGGTCTTTACTCACCATCTCCCTCCAGATGATGCAAAACGCCTGCTGTTCTCCCCTGCAGTCCTTGCAGCTCCACATTTGTAGTCACTTGAGGTTCAGACCTCCTAGATGAGGTCCCGTCACAGAGCCCATCTGGAGGTCCAACATGCTCTGGACCAGCTCCTGTTCCCAGAAGCGACTCTGCCAGGCTGTGATAAACTTCTGCAGCCAGATGCTACTGGCAGCTTTCCATACTGCTTGTGACCACTTCCCAAGGTTTGATCCAGGGTCCCCCATGCCATCCTCTCCTCTGGGCCACAACCCCTGAGACACTGCCATTGCCTTCACCAGATCTCCCTGTGTCACAGGTGTGCTTTTTCCAGCCCCACCACAGCTCTATGCCTCACTCCATCACCGGGTGGCAAGGCGTTTCCCTCCTTTATCCCATAAGCCAGAAACTTCCTCCTGTATTAAGGGAAGGAAGCGGTTGTTAAAACTAAAACCGCTTTTAAGTGCACTCTTTGCCTGTGATTTAAAACCGCGCTCTGCTGTCCCAATGCTATCCAGTTTGTACAAAAGCAGGGCTGGGCTTTGGCTTTGCTGCTGCCCGGGCTCTGCTGAGAGGGATTGAGGAGACAAAGCTCGGTGAGCTGGCAACCGGCAAACAAACTTTGGAGCAGAGCAGGGTAAAAATAGCGGAGCCTGCAGGAAGGCCAAGCTGTGTGCCTGCCGTGAGCTGAGACCCCGCGAAGCCAGAGGGAACCCACACTCCTCTCGTTGTCACCACAGCCTCAGCCAGGCCCCATTCCC